AGTTATGATCCTAACAAATTATGTATTATAAATTACATAATTTCCTTTCATACATACCAATTTCTTAGCATCCTTCACTCTGTTTTTGGCCGCTGGAGATGAAAATAGACTATCGTATACCGTTGCAATACAAGAAACCATATCCAACACCAACAAATACCAATGGGTACCACAGTCGTTTATTGTGATAAGGATATGCAATAAACTTCACACCCAATTTGACAAAATTCAACATTATATCTCCCAAAACATTATTTGCAATTCGTATGGTGTCTTACCTTGTCACGGTCAGTGAATTTCGAATAGTCATCCAATATCATCTCCCAAAAGCTCGCAACACCAGCAAGAGTTATTTTGTCGTCCAATGCATGTTCCTGCATTTATGCGACAATCATTATTAATTGACCATCTATAACACTACTTTTTAACATTTATTAATTTAACTCACCACTAAGTTGTATAGAATGTAGCCAATCTTCCCATGTTGATGTAATTATTCGATTCGTAATACAATATCCAGCCGACCAAATCAATAACCTAACAAAATTAATTACACAATCATAACATATTCACTAGGTTTTAACATTTTTTACTTTCTACTTACCGTACTGCCAACCCATTCCATAGGCTTCAACGTTTCAACGTTGGATACTGAAGCAAATTGATTTCCTATTTCGATTACAATATATTTGTATGAAGCATTAGGATAAATATTTTGTCATGAAATATTTAAATATCACTCACAAAGCAATATATTTCATTTACGTCGATTGTAACCCACTATTCCATAAATAATCACACATTGCAGCTTCATAATCGCCAATTCCGCTTGGAATTTTCGCTTTTTCAACCTACAAATTTGCATACAAATTTTTGTCACAACAAAATAATAAAAATCAAATTATGTTTTCTTTTATTCAGCTTACCTTCTACTTCTTCTTTGGTGAAGGACATTCTGAATCCAAACCCGCATCTATAACACTCTCCGGTGTATAAATCACATCCACATCCTTCCTTCTCACTTCCTCTATATTTTCTTCTTCATCTTTTTTCAATTCTTCGTATTTTTCCTCCACATAACTCTTCATCTCTTTTATTTCACCCTTCATTTTTCCCCTCCATCCAAAATTTTCTCAACCACTCCCTTCATCCCTCAATTCCACAACTTCCTTCACCACTCCATCAATTTTTACACCCATCACCATCTTAAGTTCACCCCTCAATTCCATAACTTATTTCACCACTCCATCAATTTTTCCACCCACTTCCCCCTTAAGCCTTTCAATTGCCTCTTCGACTCTTGATTGTTTTTGCAAAATATCATAAATGATTTTTTTACCTCCGCCAATTCATAAATCAAAATGTCAAATTTACTTTGTTTTCCCTCACCGTCATCCCCCGACTACCATATCTTCTTCCTTCTCCTCTTCCTCCGCTGCCTCCTCTACCTCATTGCCAATAACCTTCAAAATTAAATTACAATATTAATACATTTATTATATTCTTAATATTATGTAATTACATTTATTACCCTTTCTTGATTAGTTGGTTTTTCCAACTTCAACTTCGCTATCACTCTAACTATTTCTTATTTCCCCCATGCACGGATGCGCGCCACTCCGGTTCTTTTGTATGCCGGCACATTATTACAGTCTGACCAAAAATCGAATAGTACAACCTGTATTTATAATTATATTTATCTATTTATATAATAATTATACTATCATTTTAAATAAAAAAAACAAACACGTCATTCAACTCATTTACCTCTAAGATTGCTATGCACCCTTTGAGGTATCTCTCGCGACCCTTTTGAAAGATGATTATTGATTCAATCAATCTCGAATGGACATATTCAACCCAATAGAATTCACCTTTCAAGCCTTCATCGTAAATCAGTTTCATATTGTCCTTGCTCGGGGATGTATCACCTGTTGGACAAAGAAAGATCCCGACAAGGTACAATAGAACTCGGGACTTCAGGTCATCCCCATCGTAAGATCCGCTTTTGATTTCCTCTTCAAGTTCAGCATATGTTACCTTGTGCTTCAAATCATATTTGGAGGCAAGTGTTTTCCAGTTCATAGTCTTACTGACTTCTATAACACTTTTGCCTTTATTTTCTACCCCAAGACGGCTATAGCACATGGGACCCCCAGAGAAAATGAATAATCACCATATTTAACCATACATTGTTGAACATGGAATTGCTCCACCAAGGATCGACACAATTCTCTCCGAATTGGTCGATCCCTTACTTCGATCAAAGATCCAAACCCTATTTCTTCCAGTATATTAACTTTATTCTTCTCTTTAAGGTGTTTAATTAATGAGTTCACTCTTTTTATGCTGCACCTTGTCAACACTTCCTACATTTTTTAAAAATATATAATGTTATGGTTCTTATATATCTTTTATCAAAGTATTTACAAGTTTAATGAATACCTTCTTTTCATGTGCTTTCCTCCAAGCTTTGTATTATTGTCTATCCATCTTTGACCGTGTCAGGTAAGGTTCATTCTCAGCATCATTCATCGACTTCCATTTCTCTAACACATCATTTTTCACCTAAAATTAAGCATAAATGTTTCTTAATCAATACATTAACGCTAAATAATACTCAATGTCAAATTCATTTTACACACCGAACCGATGTGATTACCAGCTTCCTTCATCCTTTGGCTTCCAGTCATACTGTCAACATTTAAAATTTGTAATCAATTTAAAGTTCTTAAAAACTTTAATCCAATTATCATTTCAACGGTAATAACAAAAATGCATTGATACTTACTAGAAGTACATATATACACTCTTTGGTTGCTTTCGACTCTCGGACTCAATTTCAAATTCATCTTCGCCAACAACAATTGCAAGATCCATTGACTTCATTTTTCCTTCATGTATTAGTTTACGTAAATGAAAATCAAATACTGGTTACATACACTTTATTCAATATACAAATATCGATAACTACTCTTGTAGTAAAGCAGTTTCCTTCAAAAGAATTTGAATGATCACTACTACAAGTATTGGTACATTTATACAACCTACAATATCATTTTCTTCCTATAATATTATATAAAGGTATCAGTGTTTATTTTCTACCTATAATATTATATAATCGGTCTCAAATCCTTTTTGGCTTCGAAATCCTCAAACTAAACCCAAAAACCCTAACCTCTATTTCCTTCAAACGAATGGGAATACTCAATACTATAAGTATCGGTACATTTATACAAACTACAATATCATTTCTACCTATAATATTATATAAAAATATTGATATTTATCATCTACCTAGAATATCACTTTCTACCTGTAATCAATCCCAAATGCTTCTTTACTTCGAAAACCCCAACACATAAAACCCCTATTTCTTATTACTGTAATAATAAAAAACTAGGGTTTTGACAACGTACTTTTCGATTCGAATGCAACAACAAACAAACAAACTTCACTTTAAAAACACTTTCTGAAATGCAGCAACAATTACGCTTCGATTTCGAAAACTACGGCCGTGTTTTATCTATTTTCAGAGGAAATTTAGCTATGCCTTTGATATTTTAACCGGTTATGTTATTTATATTTAATCGGTACAATTACCCAAGTATCGATACTTTTATGTCAGATGTCGATACTTTCGATATGGTTTCATTTTTTTCTTTTAAAAGTATCGATAATTTCTTACGTATACTTATTGAAGTATTGATACCTTCAACATATCCGGTAGCGCTTTACCGGTTTTGTCATATTTTTACCTGTTATATTGTTATGTATCAATACATGTTTATAAAGTATCGATACTTTATAGGCGCTATTATTGGTTTTCTTTTAAATTCCAAAAGTATCGATACTTATTTGAATGGAATCGATACCTTCAACATATCTAGTAGCGCTTTACCGGTTTTTTCATATTTTTACATGTTATATTGTTACGTATCGATACATGTTTATAAAGTATCGATACTTTATAGGCTCTATTACTACTTTTCTTTTAAATTCCAAAAGTATTAATACTTATTTGAATGGTATTGATACCTTAAACATATCCGGTAGATCTTCACCAGTTTTGTCATATTTAATCCGGTTTTGTCATATTTTTACCTGATAAATTGTTATGTATCGATACATGTTTATAAAGTATCTATACTTTATAGCCGTTATTATTGCTTTTCTTTTAAATTCCAAAAGTATCGATACTTATTTTAATAGAATAGATACCTTCAACATATCTGGTAGTGATTTATGGGTTTTGTCATATTGAACCTGGTTTTATCATATTTTTACCTGATATATTGTTATGTATCGATACATATTTGAATGGTATCGATACGTACCGACAAACTAAGTTTGTGGGTTGCAAAAGTTTTTAATATTTCTTCATGATTTCCACCTACAACATTATTATTACTCAACATTTCCGATAGCGCTAGACCGACTTTGTTAAATATCTTATTATGTTTCTGATAACGCCGTATATTAACCGTATATTAATATGTCTTTCCTGAGATAACTCACCCCTTTTAGAGTGAAGTTGGGGCTTTTTATAACCCAAACAATGTTACATTTTCATTTTTATTTTTGATTTTTCCTTGTCTGGTGTAGTTGATTTGGTGGTAGCGTGTGCAGGAACAGCAGGCAGTTGATGTGGCGTTGACTCTGGCATGTCAGGGGATGGTGGCATAGGGCAGGAGCAGCCGGTGCAGCCGGTGCAGCTACATCTGGAATTTGAAATGGTCAATTGAATTTAATTATATGTGTGATTCCTTAGTATCTTTTTAATAAATAGTGCGCCATTCGTGCTATGGACAGCCATAACAACCAATAATTAGTTTTCAACTCTAAACACTCAAAAGCAGCTGAGACAAGTCAGATGTCTGAAAACGACAAGAATTTCACTTGTATATAACATGAGAACATCCTAGGATATGTCAACTTGTCATCATCTAAATTTATATCTTTTTTTGCTTTATTCTTTTCATGTGCTAAAAGCAAAAAATATGAGCGCAAACAACACCACCGGAGAACTGACGGCAGCAGCAGCAAAGGTCCAGCCGATTGCTGCCCAAAATTCAGGGCAATGGACGACGGGTCTCTTTGATTGTTTCGATGATTCTGATAACTGTAAGACACCATAAGCTTAGCTCGAGTTGTTACTTTAATCGTCTGATACTTTTTTAATAGTCTATTAATAACGCACACAGATTCTGTAGACACAATAATTTAAATTCAAATCTTTTTGAAAAAGTAACGTTCTCTTTTATCACTGAAACCACTTAATGAATCTCACTTCATTTATATATATGCATGAATGGTATTATTAAATAACCTATTTATAAATGTGTGATGAAGGGAAACGTGGAGACTATCGATAAAGGGAAAACATGTAAGCAATCTTACAATTTAATATCTCGTCATCTACATTTGTTTGTTTATTTTACGTATTTTGTTGGTAATAATTGCAGCGGCAGGTGAGGCGGCCCGAAATTACTACTTGCTGGGCAGCTTTGGATGTGCATTCTGTTACTCTTATCCGTATCGGACTCAGCTAAGAGAAGTGTTTTCACTGGAGGAGCAACCGTGCGCCGATTGCCTTGTTCACTGCTTCTGCATCCAATGTGCTCTTTGTCAAGAGCATAGGCAGCATAAAAAAACGTGGCTTTGACCCCACTATAGGTAATCAAAATATATTCTGCTTTAATTACACCATTTCTTTTCTTTTCTTTTCTTTTGAGCTTAATTAAAAAAAAAACTATATCTCTTCTCTCATTTAGGTGTTTAAGTTTTTTTATGATCATTGAAGGTGTTTAACATTTTTGACATTACAATTTTAAGTGTATGATCTATCACGGTCGTTAAAAGAATTTATTAAAAATCAATTAACCACTCAAAATGTGACACGTGGTGCATTTATAAATTTTTAAAATTTTTATTTAAGAAAAAATTAAAATATTATTACTTTTCAAAAAATCTAAAATTTCTCTAAAATATCAAAAAAAAAGTTTCAAAATCCTTAATCCCAAAGTATCGACCCTACTCGTCGATCAACAACCTACCCACCTGTTGTCGGTTAATCATAGCCTCAATCCTCAAAACCCCTAAACCTAAATCTATAAATCCAAACCTTACATCCCTTACGATAGGTGGTCGATAGATGAGTGGGTGATCGCCAGTAGTAATGGTGGTTGGTGACGGGATTTTAAGGATATTTTTGGAGTTTTATAAATTTTGAGATATTTTCGGCAAAATAGAAAAAATATGAGTTCTTCTTGAAAATTTATGAATTTTATTTTTTTAAAAATTAAATAAAATTAAAATTTAGGTCACGTGTCACATCGATTGAATGATTAATTTTTAGTGGAGATTTTTTACAGTCGTTACGGATCAGATACTTAAAATAATAACGTCGAAAATGTTATACACATATATTAATAAAAAGAAAATTTATACACTTAAATGAAAAAAGTATAATTTGAATTTTTTTATATTAAACCTTTGGTTTGAAGGTTCAAAAAGTATCATTTCCGTATTCCTATTGTGATTCAAACTCCAATATTTTTGTTTTCTCTCCATCGATTAATTAATGTGGTTTGCCTTGTTTTCTTCTTCTTTGCTTTATGACCGGAAAAGGTTGGGCAGCCAACGTAGCGAAAATGAACTAAAACGGAAAAGTACCGCCAGCTGTTGAACCAGGAATGGTGGCCGGTCCTTGATTAATATTCATTGATCGGTTTGTTATTCGTCCATGAGACGTTCTACTATATGTTTGTTTGTTATATATCTACGTACGATGGGATGCCAGCTCAGTGCGTTTGTGGATTATTATTGTTTTCAGTTGTGTTTACGGTTGAGAATTTCTTTTATGGTTTTTTTTATTAATCTGAAATGTCAGTTCGGTATCACTTAACGTCGAACGTTTAGACTTTTAACATTTATGGTACTCAAACTCATGATCATAAAAAATAATAATAATTCTTTTATCACCAAAATTACAAAATTACTTTATTCGTACACATTTTTACGCTAATTTTGGTAGGATTGGAGTGTGTTTAATGTTTCTCATGTCAAGATAATAAAGTACTTTCCCATTTCCACATCAAACGTCTAAAACTCCAAATGATTGTCAATATTTTTAATTACTTAAACATTTAAATAAAAAAGAGTATGATTAAAGAGAGTATTATTCATTCGAGAGGTTATAAGCCTGAGTATCTACGTGTACAAGATGTATGCATATCATCAATGATTAAGAAAGATTCTGAACAATATTACTTTATAATCAACCATTAAAAAAATAACTCAATACTATTATTTTTTTAATTAAACAATTATTTTTAATCACTAAAAATTAACTTGAAATTTTATTATATATTATGAGAAAATTAAATATAAGATATTCGTATACATATTTTTAAAAATATTGTTTAATATACTCATTATAGCAATAATATATTATATAAAGTTGTCGAAATGATTTTTTTCTCGAAAGGAGAACGAGATTTTGAAAACCACACTATTTTTAATTATCTTCTTTGTGATTGATTTTTAATTAAAAACAATACGATTTTATAAAACCTTTCATTTTGAAATTTTGGAAATTCCTTTATAATAAAAACATACAGTTCGAGGAGTCGCCACCAATATTTGATTAGGGTGTGATTGGGCACCCAAAAACATTTTGTCATTTTAAATAAAAATTAATTTTAATTAAAACGACAAATAAAGGTCTTTGTTACCAAAAATTGAGTTTGGGAGTCGGTTACGCGTGGGGAAGGATTAGCACATCCACAGCGCCCTAAATCGGTACTTAACCGATTAATTAATTTCTTTCCATTAAATTCACAAATTTGAATACACCAAACCATATTAAATTAAAATTTCCAAGCCCTTAAAAAGATAAAGGATATTTGATTATTTAAAAATATTGAGACCAGATCTTTAGGTAAGTTCTAACGACTTTTTCTCAACAAATTTAAATAGATAAATATTTATTTCTCTTTGATTCCCAAATTTTAAATTGATGAATCAAAATTTATTTAGATGTAATTGACGGGATACACTTTTAATTTAAAATGGTCAAAACGACTATCTAGTAAGTTAAGAAAAGTCATTCTAACAACTTTAAATTAAATGAGTATTACCCTTAATCCAATTATGTGATAGGAGTCAAGTTATGCACGTGAGACTATTATGTAAAAATTAATTAAAAATACAATCATTTAACTATTAATAAGTATTTAAAAAAATCACATGCAGTGATATTTACAATCAAAAATTAAATAAATATATTTTAACTAATAAACTATATATATATATATATGTGTGTGTGTGCGTATTAAACATAATATATAAATATGACCAAAATAATAAAACAAAAATAAAAACTAATAAACCACTTTACATAATGAAACCATAATAAAACTATGATTAATATAATGGTAATAAAGCCAAACATACTCATAATGAAACATGCAAAAACTTAAAGATCCAATGTCTAAAATTAAAAATTAAACACAATATGTTTTAGGACTAAAATTAAATGTGCATGAAATGAAGGAACAAAATTATAAGCATAAAACTCGACATAGGGACTAAAATGAACTTGAGTAGAGACTATGGTGACTTAACATTTATTTACTTTAAAATTATAATATAAAACTTAATTTTAAACTAAACCTAGGCTATATTTACACCTAAACTCGTACATAGCCGTTTTGCTCCTTCCTATGCCTCCCTCTTCTTCTTCTTAGATGGCATACAAAACAGAGGCTACTCCAAATCTTGGCCACCGTACGGTGCTGCTCTCCCTACGCCTCTGAACACCACTGAACCACAGGGCTTTAACTCACATAGGCCACCACAGATCGCTCATCTCTCATCTCTCCCCTATCTTATTCTTCTTCAATCGAAAGCCCTAGGGGCTTCCTTATTCTCGCCAAGTTTATTCTCGGCATGTTTTTAACTCCTTTTGCAGAGTTGGCTAACGAGTTTGGCGTTCCTAGCTACGTATTTTTCACCTCGGGTGCTGCTTTCCTTGGCTTCAAATTCCACGCTCAAACTCTATACGATGGGCAAAACGTGGACCTCCTTCTTCCTTACAAACGCATGTCACGCTCATATTCAACGTCGATGGCCTCCGGTGGACCATTCTACACTATGAAGAGACTAACTGCCGGTAACACACTAAACTCTTCTCTTTATTTCTTTTCCCAAAAGAAATCCACTGCTTATTAAGAACTTAAGTCATGAAATCTTAAAATTAATTTTCAGTATTCTGATTTTTTTATTTCTCAACTCAACCGACACTGTTGTGCCATAAAACTACGACTAGACGAGCCACGCATGCAACAAATTCCGATCAACATAACAGGTAAATCGAAACTAGTTTAATATTTCTACTTATTTCGAAAGAAAAACAATAAACATGCGCTTAGTATATAAAGAAAATTATTACTTGTATTGCCTTCGAAAGAGATAAGAAATGATGTTTACACACCCTCCTTTTCCTTCTTGTTATGTTGTGTAAAAAAGGAATGGGGGAAGGTTTTTTCTTGCTCCTCTTTTCGGGTTAATTGCTGATGGCAAATGGTTGATTTTTTCTCTCATTTTTTTCTTGATGAAAACCGAGACCCCCTGTTCGACTCCTCTATTTTTTGTTTTTTTTTTCTAGCTAATCCCTCTCTTTCCCCCATTATCTTCGAAAACTACCCCTTTTATCTATATTTTCTTCACCGAATATCCTTATCATTTTGTTGCATGTTGATAGGTTTAGGTAGAAATCATTGATTTTTTATGGATTAGGTTGCTTTTCTTCTTGACTTTGAGCCATTTTAGTTGATGATTTGTGCAGCTTCAATGGTGGCATGATTGGCGGCATCTTATTCACGCAGATGAGAACAACTCCTGGACTTAAACCAAGTTACTTGTAATTATTTTGGGGTTGTTGGATTTTTTTAGGGTTGCATCGGGCTTCAGGATTGCTTTTGTTGTAGTGGGCTTGAGCTTCAGCCTACATAAAATAATTTAATTTATATTAATAATAATAATAATAATACATAATTAATATTTATAATATTTTTAAGCCCGGTAAAAAACGGGTGTCTACAGCTGCCCCTCTTTACACATTCTTGTGTTAACAAGAATAGGGCAAAGATGAAAAAGACAACCAGTTTTTGTCCGATCTTCTTTTTTTTAGTGTGTGATTTGGATATCCGTCGTTGTAAAGCATTGGATTAAACAAGTTATTCTCATTATGAACTTCTTCTCTCTTGTTGGATGAGTTCTTCTCATTATGAACTCTTCATTGGAAACATTGATCCACCTCATTCTGAGATGGACTTGAAAGGAACAAGTTCTTCTCATTATGAGCTTTCTCCTTTAGGACGAGTTCTTCTCATTATGAACTCTTCTGGAAATATTGGTTCACCTCATTCTGTGGTAAATTTCAAAGGAACAAGTTCTTCTCATTATGAACTTTCTTCTTTAGGATGAGTTCTTCTCATTATGAACTCTCCATTAGAAATATCAATCCCGCAAGCGAGGCGTCACTGATTTGAAATGCCATGAATCGAGTGATAGGTCGAACAAGATCTTCTCATTATGAACTTCTTCTCCCTCTGTTGGATGAGTTCTTCTCATTATGAACTCTCAATTGGAAATGTCAAT